GGAAGCGAAGTGTTGGAGTGGCGAGCGAGATGTCTTGAGTTCGGTTTGGGGAGTGTTCCGAGCTGCCATGGGCCAGCTCGGGTCACAGCTTTGTGAGGCTTGGGGCCCAATAAAGTTCGTGCTCCTTGCAGGGAGCTCGGGTTCTTAAATGGGAGCCCGTTCTTAATAGGGAGCTCGAACTCCCAGTAGGGAGCTCGAACTCCCAGTAGGGAGCTCGGTCTCTTGGTAGGGAGCTCGGGCTCCTAGTAGAGCGGTCTGGAGTTCGGGCTCAGTAGTGAGCTTGGACTTGCTTTCGGTGCTCGCTTCGGGCGCTCTACTGCCCCGAGTTACTTGTTTTTGCTACGTGTCGGATGATTGCGAGGTCGGGCCAAATTCCCCTTCATCATTTAGGTTGGGTCAAAAACATCTCAAGGTCTGGCCAGGGCAAATTATCGACATCTCTAACTAAATTCCTATGTGTTTAAAATAAGCTAAAAGCAATAAATATGGATTCACCAATCAGCACTCTGAAATGTGACGAGGACCTGAACGTGTTTTCTCCATTTGGATGTGGCTTGCTACTCAAAATGTGGAATTGCAGGCTAAAATTCCACTACTTTACAAATTGTACTTGGCTAAAAATATGGATCCAAATTATGGGATCTGATTCTTTTTTTTTATTTTTTTGTAGAATAGATCCTAATTCTGCAATATTCCAAATACAGGCAAGGTAATGATTATACACACCTTTTCATTGAAGGGATGGCACCCACTTGTTAATAGTCAGATCAGACGATCGAGAACTTTCTTTTTTTTTTCTGAAAACCACAACATTCCCAATAGAAAATCAAAATTAATCTTATTTATTAAATCTGGTTAATATAAATAGAGATTGTTTTGCTTTTTACAGTTGGGTGTGCCCACTTGATAAAAAGGGATGATGTCACCACATCTCTAATTCTATATTCTCACCTCTTTAAGTCTCACTAGTGTTCCCTAGGCTGTGTTTGGTTGCAGTGCAATTTTATTTGCAATAGTACAAATGTATGGGAGTGCAAATACAAAAAATGTAAATTCTCATTTAATTTTATTTTGGGTTCTACTTTATTCTGCTTTATGTCTTAATTTACTTTATTTTTAATGCAATCAAACAAAATAAGTTAAAATTTAAAATAAAATTAGTCAGAATTTACACTCAAATCATTTACACGGCCACAGCTTCGCATCAATACAAATTTATTTGCATTGCAACCAAACACAGTCCTACTCTTTTATTTTTTTCTTCATGGGCTACACAAAGGAGGTGGTCACATCCCCTTTAACTCCCCAACCCTGGTGGCAGCATGCTACATCCAACCAACTGAGTTGCCATCAATTGACATATTCTCTATTTATTTTCTCATCAAACTATACTAGTGTAATAGTACATGTTTGTATCAACTATATGATATATTATGGTATTTGTATTTAAATTTTATGACCCACACAGAACCAAGACAAATATAGAGATAGATTGAGAGACGCTCCGCAATCCCCATTGATATTGTCTTTATATGTCTCTGGCCTCTGGGGCACATATACAGATGGCAAAGACTAATGAACTTATTATTTTTATCAGTGGATAGGGCCTAGTGGGGTTGTTGTTGGGCTTTCTGAGTATCATCATGGGCCATGGAAACCATATATCATGTACCTTCAATGTCCATGATGGGCCATGGACACCATATCGATTCTGTGCAAATCCAGTTTGTGATTGGCCATGAGTTCAAATATCTATTTCTGATATAGTCATATATGCTGCAACGCGACTTATGGTATTGGGAACTGGTAAGAGGGAAGCCTCAGTTAGACAGTTGGAGCTGATGCCCCTTACATCAGGATCAGCTTTGACTTGGACTGCATTCTGAGTTCCCCATAAATACCTTTCCCCTCTTGTTAGCAGTTGTTCTCGTCCATGGCCAAATCACCCACTAGCCAAGAATGAGATTCTATCTTCAGCCCCTCCACCCCTCTCCCTACTTTTCTCTGTAAAACCTAAACCAGCCTCTGAAGATAAGCATCATCTCTGCTCAAAATTTTTGGCAATGGCTCCTTCCAGACCCCTGCTATGTTTCTTGTTCATCTCTACGTTCTTGGCATTCTCATCTTCTTCTCCGGTGTCTATATCTTTTACACCGCAAACCCTGTCTAAATCTGGAGATGTGGTTAACATCCAGTGGGCTGGCATCGAGATGCCTTCTAATCTCGATTGGCTTGGTATCTACTCACCTCCCGATTCCACAGATGACAACTTCATTGGCTACGTCCACTTATCCACCTGCGACAATTGGGAGACGGGTTCTGGTTCCATCGATCTCCCTCTAGTCAACATCCGATCTAATTACGAGTTTCGGATCTTCAAGTGGATGGTGGAGAAGGATGCCAATGTGTCCCATCCCAACGATGACAGCAACCCTTTGCCCATGACAAAGCACTTATTGGCCAAGTCTGAGGAACTAAGTTTCGAGAGTGGTCATGGGCCAGAGCAGATACATCTGTCTTTTACAGAGGAGGATGACGAGATGAGGGTTATGTTCATTACGCCCAGAGGGGAGGTGAACCATGTGAAATATGGCGAGGATGAAGATAACTTGGATAAGGATGCAGTGGCAGAAGTAAAGAGGTATCAACAGTCAGACATGTGCCATTCTCCTGCAAATGATAGTATTGGCTGGAGGGATCCTGGGTTTGTTCAGGATGCAATCATGAAAAACTTGAAGAAAGGAAGGAGATACTACTACAAGGTAATTAAGGAAAGATACCTCTGTTTTATGTTTATTCTGTTAGAAACCTGCAACCTGGTTAGTTGTTGTTAGCTAGACATAATTGCAAAAACTTTTACAATTGATTAGCTGAATTCAGATAGTGAGGTCACTGTACTGAGTGGATTTCCACCTACGATCCATAACTATTAAACTGATAATATCATCATTCAGGGAGTTGACTTCAATGCGTGTGGAAACAGGTAGGAAATGATGGGGGAGGATGGAGCGAAACCCAGAGCTTTATGTCACGGGATGAAGACTCAGAGGAGACAACTGCATTCATATTTGGAGACATGGGGACTGCAACTCCATACACAACCTTTCGGAGGACACAGGAGGAAAGCAAATTAACCATGAAATGGGTCCTCCGAGACATTGAAAATCTTGGCGACAAGCCCGCCTTTGTGTCTCACATCGGAGACATCAGCTACGCAAGAGGCCACTCTTGGCTGTGGGACACATTCTTCACTCAGATCGAACCTGTAGCAAGCAAGGTGCCATACCTGGTGTGCATTGGCAATCACGATTATGACTGGCCCTCACAGCCATGGATACCAGACTGGGCTCAAACCATTTACAAGAGGGACAGTGGTGGCGAGTGTGGAGTCCCATACAGCTTCAGGTTCAACATGCCCGGGAACGCCTCGGTGCCAACAGGAACAGACACTCCACCCACAAGGAATGTTTACTACTCTGTCGATGTTGGAGTTGTGCATTTCTTGTATATATCGACTGAGACCAATTTCCTTCCAGGAGGCGAGCAATATGACTTCATCAAGCAAGATTTGGAGAGGGTTGATCGGCAGAAGACACCATTTGTGGTTGTCCAAGGCCATCGCCCCATGTACACAACAGGCAGCAATTTCAAGGATTCTCTATTGAGAGAGAAAATGCTGGAAAACTTGGAGCCTGTGTTTGTAAAGCACAAGGTGGACCTTATTCTCTGGGGACATGTCCATAGGTATGAGAGGTTCTGCCCCATGAAGAACTTCACCTGCGGAGAGGGTTTGCCTCTGCATGTTGTCGTTGGAATGGGGGGACAAGACTGGCAACCCGTTTGGGCACCACTGGTCGACCATCCCAAGGACCCAATTTTCCCGCAGCCTGATCTATCTCTGTACCGTTCCGGCGAGTTTGGTTACACCAGGCTTCATGCTACAAGGAAGAAGCTAACGCTTACTTATGTTGGAAACCACGACGGAGAGACCCATGACATGGTGGAGATCCCTGCACCAGATGCAGCTGTGAGTGCCTATGGAGAAGAGAGAATCAGAGTAGCTCCTGCCCAAGACACAGATGACGCCGGTGAGCCGGTGAAAACCTCCGTGTTTGTGAAGAAGGCTGTCAGCGGTGGTGCTGCTGCTAACGTGGGGGAGCCTGCATTGCCATGGTATGTGAAAGTGGGGAGTATGTTGGTCGTTGGGGGCTTTGTGGGTTGCCTTTTTGGGTTCATATCTCGGGCCAGAAGAGAGGCTGCCGCTGGTTCGAGGATGGTCTGGAGTCCTATAGATTCTAGCGTAGGTTGTGAGGATGTGTGAGTTCACGTTACGTGACACATGCGGTTGGGTTTGGGTTGGTGATTTCATTTCATTCATTGGCAACTGGTTTTTCCTTGATTGTTTAGTTTGGTTGGCTTTTAGATTATTGGTTTTCATATTATATATGCTCCAGTTGTACGTTGAAAGCATGTCACCCGAGTTCTTTTGCTTTTGCAAAGCAGAAAATCTATCACTTGTTTTTTGACTTTTTGCTTTGAAGCGAATGGTTATCAATCTCAGATCAGAATGCTATTTTCAGTGTTTTTTTTTTTATTTAACGAAGAGTAATTAATATAATTGCTTTACAGGTTGGTTGATGCTAGTTTTAACTTTTTAAATTTTTAGGGCTTGGCCATCCCGGGACAGACTTTATTTGATAGAAAAATAAAATACCCCAAAGCCCCTAAACTGCTTAATGAAAATTTTACTTTGTAAATTCTTAAAGTTAATTTCTCCTAGGCCTAATACATTAGGCAAATTAAGAGGTTATTAATTCAAACAATATTATGCCCTTTTTTAGACTTTTGGCAATAGCCATAGAAGTATCGTGAATCGTGATCAATCGTAAGATTTGCAATATTGGTTTTGTGACGTAGGTATTGAATTTAAATTCTGAACTTTGAACCTATCCTCAGGTTTACTTGGATGTATGACGATCTTATTTAGACTATGATCACTATGTTTATATGGAATCGACATGGACTACATGTTGTTACAGTCGAGAATGACTGTTCAGCCCAAGGTCAGAATTTTTAGGCCCAAAGTACATTTGGGTAGGTGTCGGTTCGGAATTGATGTTAATTTCAGGCATTGATGTATAGAGTGGGGGTATTTGACATTTTGACTGTTTATAGATATGCAGTGATATTCAAAAATTTCTAATGGGCATGTCCGTAGTCCGTACTTTTCGTTAATTGTTCGCTAGTTTTTTAAATCTTATGCAATAATAAAGTTAAGGGGGATGAGTCATTTTCTTTTTGGAATAACAACTAAGGCGTTGTTTGGCATTGACGCCGTTGCTCCAAAAAACGATAACATGTTTGGAATCGTTTGTCCATAAATTATAGTGCTCCAAACCATATCTTGAAAACCGAGAAGGTGCGGTATGGGGAAACGTCGAATTCTATGTTTTCTCAATTTGGAGCTCATTGATGCCAACAAGGACATGATGTGGCAGTGACATGGACTTCCTACAATGGGTACCAGTGCTGAAAACAGATATGGAGCACTGGTATCAAACAAAAGGTGATGCAAGATCGATGCCAAACATATACTAAGTGCATGTTTTGAAAATTTAAAGAATAGTCAATGCCATTTTTGTCCTCGAAACTTTTTCTATCGATCTTAACCATTAAATTCTTTAACAACATGTATTTAAGTAGTTTTGAAAACCATAGGATATATTAATAAAACCTTTGGGTGTATTTAAGTAATTAAAACCATGTGGTATATTTAAGTAATTAACCCTATTCTTTTATCAAAGTTTGAAGTATATCTAGTTAGGCAAGAAGTTATTCAAGCTTTGGTCCTTTGGGGACAATTGTTTATTTTAGGGATATTAACGCATGTGACAAATTTTTCTTTATATTAATTACTTGAATTTTAGATATATCATAGTTAACATAGAAATTGAAAATTAAAAAAAGTAACAATATGATTAAAAATAAACTTAAATATTTATTATTCAATTATGACATCATGCATTTTTTGAAAAGTTGGATCATTGACCCTCCATCTAGATAAGAAATAACATTGATTTTGGATTAGTTTTAAATTAGGGAAAATTATAGTCAGAGTCAATTGTACATTTAAAATTTGGTTACAAGTTGGTCCATAAACCAACAAAATTCTAAAAAACGGCTCTACATTTCAAGTTATAAAAACCCTCACCAGGTCATTGGAGGGCTATGTGGCAATTGCCAACATGGGACTTTGCCCTTTAATGTTAAGTGATTGGAAAATAAAAAAAGGGTTTTTAGTCTCTCTCTCTCTCTCTCTCTCTTTTAGTCTCCCTCACACTCTTTCACTCACAATCATATTTATCTGCTCAACCACTATATGATTTGAAAATAAATAAAAATGGTTTTTGGTTTTTGTATTTACGTTTTTTATATCAATTTCTCTCATTCTCTCTCTCTCTCTCTCTACCTATCGTTCTCCCTCAATCTCTCTCATTCTCTTTCTCGGCCGATCTCTCATTCTCTCTTAATTTCTATCGTTCTCCCTTAGTTTCTCTCCATCTCTCTCTCTCTCTCATTTTTTTTATTTTCTTATTATCTTATACACTTATATAGTATTAATTAGATCGTATAAAAGAACATGAGACCAACTTGGTATGGTTCAAAAATTATTACACCAATTTGATAAAATTCACAAGAAACTCTTGGCTATGAAATTTACACCAATTGGAGAACGATAGAGATTGAGGGAGAATGAGATTTTGATCGGGCGGGAGAGTGAGGGAGAAGAATGAGAAAGATTGAGGGAGAACAATAGAGAGAGAGGTTTTGATTTGGCTATAGACCGAAGTAGAGAGAGTGGGAGAGACAGAGAGAGCAGGAGATCGAGAGATGACTGTGAGAGTGAGAGAGAAGGGAAGGAGATCGATAGACAGAGGGAGTGGGAGAGAAATTGAACCAACCTACAACCTAATTTTAAATGTACAACCGACTTTGACTATAATTTTCCCTTTCAATTATATATTTCATTTACATTATATAAAATATTTTTTACTTATCACACTTAATTTTTGTTTGTCTATGGTATCATTTTACTCAAACCACTAACCCACTATCTAAAAATAATAATTGTTTGATTTCTAGGGTGACATTAAATTTTGTATTACATTTCCATCATTAAAAAAATCATTTCTTATGTATAAAACTTTTTTTTGTTCAATATAATGAATGTACAATATTAGAGATGTACCCAATATTTTATTTTTTATAAATATGTACCCAAAATTTTCTCTTATCTTTTTTTTTTTTAATTTTTGTGATTCTTTGTATGTTCTATTATTAAAAATTTATTATTTGACTATCACATCATTTAATTTCTAGGTAGATTTTGAAATTGGCTTTCCATTTTCATCATTAATAAAAATACTTCTTGCATTTCATAGTTATTTATTAATCAATTTGACCCCAAATGGTCAAATTGCTTGCCCACCACCGGGAGGGAAGAAAATGGTTTTGTTTTCAAATTACTTTTCAAAATATTTATTTTTATACTATTAAAATTAATATTGTGGATTTAATTACAAGAATTTAATGATGAGAAAAATATGTTTTAAATATAGGAATTAATGAGAGAGAATAGGAAAATATTTTTATTTCCAATTGGTGTTAAATTTTACATTCCATTTTCATCATTAATAAAAATATTTCTTATTTAACATACTTATTATTGTTTAATATGTATGTTAAAAATGTTCCCATTTTCATCATTAATAAAAATATTTCTTCTTCTTCTTCTTCTTCTTCTTCTTCTTCCTCCCTTCCTCTCTTCTCTACTGCTACAAACACCACTAAAAGATGACAGTAGTGTTTCAGAGTAGTTCGGATCAGGTAGGCACAACTTTGTAAGCACGGTAAATGAGCACTTAGAATTTTTTTGACACCCGTCCCTTAAAATACACCCCAGTCTACCATTGAAAAAGATTAATACCCACTTCTAACAGTTGTTAAAATATTTATCAAGTGCTCATTTAACATACTTACTTTGTTGTGCCTATTAGATCCAGTCCCATTCTTTTTCCCCTCTTTCTTCTTCTTTCTCCCTTCATTTTTCTCTACTGGTGCAAACACCACAAAATGACAATATTTTCAAAGCAAACACCACACTCTTTGTTTGCCTAGTTTGCCCCTTGTAAAAATTCCTATAAAAACTTTCTATTATCTATCTATCTATCTATATGACTATATATGTACACACACGTGCTAAAACAATGAAGTGTTTATTTTATTTTTTTTGAATTTTTGATTTTTTATTCCATGTCATTTTACAAACAACCAATAGATACTCCAATTCCCCTTTCATATTTTCCTCCAAAAAAAAAAAAAAAAACTTATTTACACTTCTCGTTTGTACAAACTTCTAAAGTATCTCCGATCCCCTTCTATTCTCTCCGCTTTAGGGCCCTACTTAATCATATTTGGGTTCCCAAATCAAAATCCCGAGGATTCTTTTTGGGATTTGTGAATTTTCCTTTTTGCTAATTTTTGGAAAACAATCTCCCGGAACCAATATAGGGGGGCATTCTGCTAAATATATTCGCTTTTAAATATACGGGTTAAGAAGATGAAGGTTCATATTCACCCGTTTAACTAACACGAGGGTCAACCCAATTAATTAATATAGCTATCTATAGTTCTAATATTCTATACATTATTTTCACTTTAGGTTAATATTTATTCATTTAAAGACAAATGAAAGTCAATCCAATCACATGTACAAGTGACCTTTTCTTATTATTTTTGAAGTATTAAACGCCATAATTTATTAATGAAAACTTAATTAAGTTATTAGCTATATAATTCTTCAATTAGTTAACTTCAAAAATAAATAATTTTTAACTCAATTATATTGACTTACTTAAAGTCATTACCTTAATTAAATTAATTAACTAAGATTAATTAATTAGTTATTGGCTAATTTTGTGTAGACCTAACATGGTTTTAATCGGTTACTTTATTTACTTAAGTTACTTTTATTAATTAAAGTAGGAGATTAGTAATTAACTTTCTTAATTTTATTAATTAAATTAGTAAATTTAAACATAATTATTATTAATTTAAAATCCACTAACCCATTTAAAAATAACAAAAACTAATACTAGATAAAAATTTAATGAAAGTAAAACAATTTAATAAAAAAAAAAAAACTAATACAATTAGGAATGTCACAATGCTCCCCCCTTCTTGAGTGGATTGGGTTGAGTTGAGGGTCAATACAAGCCCAACCCTAAGTCTCAAACCTTGAGCTCAAACTTGGCCCAACTCAAGGTTACTCCCTAGTTTACCAACCCAGGCCCAACCTGAGCATAATCTAATAGATCATGGGTTGGACATGAGCTTGGGATATTAAGCTTTGTAGCCCAATTTTCAGGTAGAATAAATTGATAATATGTAAATATGTATATTATAAAATGTTGAACAGGCTTAGATTGGACAAGGTCAGGCTAGTTCTACCCAAAGCCTCAAACCTAGGGATGACAATTTTCCCCATCCCTGTCGGGTACCCAATTTCTTCGCCCCGATGGGGTTAGGGATGGGGATTGCTTTGGCAGGGAAGAGGATTAATAGGGATCCCCAACCAGGGTTGTGGTTGGAGATGGGGCATGAAGTCCTCGCCTCGCCCTACCCCCGACTTCATCGGGATTCAGGTCCTTGCTAGGAACACCAATTCCATCGGGAATTGGGGATGAAGGATAACTTTTAACCCCAACATGGGATCGGAATTGGGGATGGAGAATATGATCCCTGCCCTAAACCTGCCGCGTTGCCATTCCTACTAAAATCAAGCCCAACTTAAGTTTAGATTTTTTTTGGGCAGAAAAACATGATTCATTAAAATAAGTCAACTGACACAATAACAAACAGGAAACTGAACCAAAGAGAACAGAAAGACAAAAGAAATAAACACAGAATTAATGGTTAACTAACAAAGAGTAACAGAGAAGAAAGACGAAGATGGATTGCTAAGTTAGATCCGAACTAATTACTAAAAAACCACATTTTGCTGCAGCATGGGCTGCAGTGTTTGCTTCCCTTAGACATTTAGGAAATCTGAAAATTTTCCCAAATAGCAAGAGTCTTGATGTCTTCACACAAAAACAATAGATCATTTGGAGTAGAACAAGAAGAACCCATAACATTGTCAATTAAGATAGAGTAGTCTAATTAAAAAACCACTATGCATAAGTCAATCTCAACCACAAAAAGAACAGCTTCCAAAAGAACCTTTGCCTCAGCCATGGGAGGAGAGATCACTAAAGACTGCCCAAAACCGGCTCCCTAACATACACAAACCACAAAACCAAAGGAATCCTTTTCCTTTCCTCGTAGTCTTTGAAGAGCTTTCTAATTTATGCTGAAAGATTTGAGATTTCTCCACTATTGACCTGTAAATCGTATTGACATCATTATATTAGGCGTGATTTTTTTGTCCAAACCTAATTTAGAAATTTAAAAACTCAAAACCCAACATGTGCAAAAGCATTGATTGAGCCGCATCATACTTGGGTTGGACCCGCGGAAGTTGCAACTGATGGTGCGCAATCCGGCTGGTCTTAGCTGTCAATGACCTTACCTCTGAACGGAGCTACAGGGAGCCTGAAACAGTGAAGATGAGGAAGCTCCGGGAGGAACCCAGTATGAATGCTCCGAAGCTCAAGTTAGAATTCTTTAAAAGGCAAGATAAAACCAGATGATGCAAAGTTCACGTACCTTGTTCTTGGGGGTAGGGAGCCTTTTATAGCCACCTCGTGCACTCACTCCTAAGCTTCTGTCAGGTCGGGTACGATTACCTCTGGTCTCCTGCCAGTTCGGGTGTCATCCCCTCTGCTGGTCAGAACCGCCACGGCTCCCTTTTGTCGGAGCCGTCTCTGCAACTGGCGATGACGGTGGCAGGTGGCAGTGGTAGGTGACCGTTGAAGTGCGACTGTCAAGCGTCAGATCCCAAGTCAGTCAGATGCGCCGCCCTTGGATACGGACCTCCTCGGTGTCAGGTATGGTACGTTTGTTCAGTTCGGCGTCTCGGAGGCGAAGTGCTGGAGTGGCGAACGAGGTGAAGTCTTGAGTTCGGATAGGGGAGTGTCCCGAACTGCCATGAGGCGGGCCAGTTCGGGTCACTGCCTTGTGTGGCTCGGGGCCTAAAGGAGAGTTCGGGCTCCTCGTAGGGAGGTCGGGATCCTCGTAGGGAGTTCGAGCTCTTAGTAGGGAGGTCGGGCTCCTCGTAGGGAGGTCGGGCTCCTCGTAGGGAGTTCGAGCTCTTAGTAGGGAGGTTGGGCTCCTCGTAGGGAGTTCGGGCTCCTCGTAGGGAGTTCAGGCTCCTCGTAGGGAGTTCAGGCTCCTCGTAGGGAGTTCAGGCTCCTCGAAGGGAGTTCGGACTGCTTGTTTCTTCCATTTGGTGCTTGCGCCCTGGGTGCGCTGTTTTAAGTGTCGAGCTATTTGCTTTTGCCACGTGGAGTGATTGTGAGGTCGGGCCAAATCTTCCTTCATCAGCAACCATACAACCCTACCTCCTTTTGCCTAGAAAACTAACAAAAATTTCCCATTAGAACCTTGTACTTTGGGCATAGTGTTTTGGTCCCCAAACTTTAAAATGCGGTAATTCGATACCTGAACTTTCAAGGTGTACCAATCCAGTACCTTTCATTTACCAGTCCGTTAACCAGTTGTTAAGTGGCATTTGAAAAGACACACATGACCTTCAAGTATCATCTATTTTTCTTTATCAACCATCCAAATGTTGATAAAAAAATCAGCAGTCCTAAATCTTTGCCTCTTCTATTCAAGAAAGTTGGGGTCACCAGAATGACCATTGAGACATGACCCGGACTTTCTTGAATAGAAGAGGCAAGGATTTGGGACTGTTCATTTTTGTCAACGTTTGGATGGTTAATAAAGAGAATTAGATGACACTCAAAGGGCATTTGTGTCTTTTCAAATGTCATTTAATGGTAAGTTAACAGATTGATTAAGAGCAAGTACTGAATTGATACGTTTTGAAAGTTCAGAATTGTCACATTTCAAATTCAAGGATTTTATTGTTTGGTCCAACTTTTAAATTTTTATGAATTTGTACATTTGAAAACGAGAGTACATCACAATTCAAGGGGTAGTGTAATGATTTGGAAAATACATTTAAAAACCCAACAAAAACTTACGAGGGGAGTGATAAGTTTTCCAAAAGCATTTATCAAAACCCATGCATTATAGGTATTAGTTTACTATTTATCGATAAATTTTTTAAACTACCTTTATGGTTTAGTTAATTGACTAACTCTAACCTTACTATTAGAGGTGGATTTGAGCTTAGCCGAGCTGAATAGTACGAGGTTGGAGCTTGACTCATCAAGGTAGTACAAGACTCGAGTTTAAGCTCAAGCCCAATTCAAGTTAAAACCTTAAACTTAAGTTTGATTTAAGAAAAATGTTTTATAAAAATAAAAAATTATATATAAAAATATTTTTTATTTGATATTTAAAAAAATTAAGAATTATAATATTTTTATTATATATATTATTTTCTATAATTTATTTTATATATATTCAAGCTTGAGTTGCGAGCCTCACGAGCTAAGCTCTGTTAGGCTTGAGCTTGAGCTCATTTATTAATCGACTCATACTCAACTTGAAAATCGGTTGAAATGGAGTGGATTTGGGCAATGAGCACTCGCCCTGCCAAACCACTCCCCATCTTCCACTGCAGTTAAACCGAAGACACCTTCTGAATTGCCTTCCGCTGTTTTCCTCCGGTTGTCGCCAGGCCTTGTCGACCGCCTCAAGCTTCTTGGCTTCGTCGGAATCCAAACCCCCTCTTCTCTCTTTCTTCACCGTTGGTCTGGTCAGCAGACTTGTACGGAAGGTCCAAGAGAATGGTGGCTTCGGTCGGAACCGAGTTGGGCTACCTCGCAGCTTCCAGCAGCATTTAATTTCAATCGAAAGTTCGTCATCTGTTTGGTCGACCGGAGGTTCCATGGAGAATATGACGGACTTGTTCCTCTCAAGATAAAAAATCAATGAAAAGCTCTTCTTTTCATGGAGAATGTGCTCGCACAGACATATGACGAACTTGCTACAGATGACGAATTTCTTGTAATATTGTCGCTACACACGCACGCACGGACATACCCAGATCTGAGTTCACCACTGTTGGAAATTTTTGTTGGATTTGTTTAATTGACAAGAACAAGCTATCCATCATTCAACATTGAGCGAGAAAAAACAGGGGGACCGCCCATAGTAGTTGTATTGCCCATAATACACGGCACTATCGACACACCAAACAAGAAAATTTGTTAGGACTGTAAAATCTTCTCAATCATCCAATTAAAATCAGCTGGGTCGATCGACTTGTGGCATCAGATGAGATATACCTCTGTATGGTTGGGTCGCCCTAATCATCCCATCCTTGAGGTAGTATCACACTTGACATGTAGGTTAGAGCAAAAACGACCCTAGAGTAAGGACACCATGGCCTTCCCAACACAGAAATTCCGACCCCGGTGCCAATATATCAGGAAGAGTTGGCTGGTCATGCAACCTCTCAGAAGCAAAAACCGCACCCTTTTCTCACCAAAGATTTGATTAGCGTGATTTCAATGCAGGAAAATTTACGGGTTTTCTTACCTGAAAATGATGGTATTCAGTTTGCAGAGGGGTTTGGTTGAACGATCAGAAAAGGCTACACGACGAATGAAACTCAGATCTGCCTGGGTTCAATGCTTCTAGTCCTATTGTTCTAATAATCCATTTGTTGATTTGGGTTCATTACAGACGACTAACGAAGCTTATGTTTTAATTGTAACTGATGCTGTCTCGTCTGAGGTGTTCTGAATCAAGATCACAATTACATAATTCTGTTAATTAGTAAAATCGAGGTGGAAGTAAGATCTGTAAGTAAGAAAGAGATCAGACGCTAGAGGAGTTATTTTCCGGGTAGGCAATCCGATGCTCAAGTCAGTTATGTACGAAATGAGTGGTCAGGAGTATGAAGGCCGAAGAGTAAAAACTCTATTATTTTGAGCGGTTTATAGTTTAAGATTTGAATCCGATTTGGATGAGACTTCCGATTATCAGGATGAGTCATCCGCAGAGGTGTTCGAGATAAATCTTAATCCCGGCGGAATTGTTACGAGACTTTTCTTCTTAATCGTGCTTATTCATCTTACTTGATATACACGTAGCTGAAGAGATAAGAGGAACACGGAGACGACCATGTGATATTTTGAAAATTTGAAGAATAGTAAAGGGTAACTTCGACATTTTATTTTTTCATTCGTTACTGAGAACAAAAATACGATAATGGTGAAATTCATCATTCGCTTCCTCATAATGGGCTGCGTTTCTCCCATCAAGAGATAGCTCGTCCGACCACATCTCCGCCTGGGTTTAGAGTCTCATTATCATCGGAGCTGTGATCGGCGGCTTTTTCTTCATTTTCAATTTTTTTATTGTAGAGTTATCAGTTAGCCAAACATAAGGTAGTTTAAAAAATTTGCCCTTTATTTTTTTAGTTAAGTTGGTCACTTGACGAAAGAGAAAATGAACAGCGCACGAAATGACGAAAGAAGTCAAAGAACTGACTCACTGCCTCGCAGAGTCGCAGTCGTCGCTTCCCTTTCCGACCCATTACCCATCATCAACTCCAACTTCCAACATCCAACTGAAATCAAATCTCCTCTCAAGGAACAAACAGTAGCACCAGCAACAGCTAACTGTGACTCTGAGAGACAGAGAGATCACTCACCCTGACCCAAAAAATCTCTTGCTTTAAAATTTTGCAATGGTCCCACCATCACTCCTCCGTTTCTTCCTCGTTTTCTTATTCATCTCCATACTCCTGCTAGACCTATCTATTTGTTCTCCTGTTTCTATATTTCTAAACCCCAGCATCCTATCCAAACCCGGTGACTCAGTCCGAATTCAGTGGACCGGTGTCGGCTCCCCTTCCTCCCTTGATTGGCTCGGTATCTACTCACCCCCTGATTCCCCTGATGACAATTTCATCGGCTATGTCTTCTTGTCTTCTTGCAACAATTGGCAATCCGGTTCGTGCTTCGTCGACCTCCCTCTGGTTAATCTTCGTTCCAACTATCAGTTCCGTATCTTCCGATGGACCGAGGACGAAGTCGACCGTTCCCGCCTCGACCATGATCACAACCCCTTACCCGGAACTAAGCACCTCTTGGCCAAATCGGAGGAGTTGGGTTTCGAGACCGGTCGTGGCCCGGAACAGATTCATTTGTCGTTCACCACCAAGGTTGATGAGATGAGAGTTATGTTTGTTACTGCGGATGGGAAGGAGAGTTTTGTGAAGTATGGGGAGAGAGAACATCGGTTGGATAACGTTGCTGTGACTGAGGTGAGGACGTATGAGCGCTTGGATATGTGTGATTCCCCTGCCAATGAGAGTATTGGGTGGAGGGATCCTGGGTTTATTCATGATGGGGTTATGACCAACTTGAAGAGTGGAATCAGATACTATTACAAGGTAATACGGATTTTACTTTCAGTTCCTTTAGTTGTTCGTTTGTTGAATCATCGATTTTCACTTTATTTGTTGTATTTACTGTTAATTATTTCTTGGGTTATAACAAGTCTTTCTTCCAGTCGTTGGAATGGATGATTTGCTTGACTTGTTTACAAATTTCCTGCCTGGTGCCTCCCCTGTTTTTATTCTCTAATTATTCGATTTTTAGTGGCTATGTTTTGCAATTTCCTTCCATACTTGCGCTGATAAAAAAAAAAAAAAATCCTTCCGTATATGGTCCCAGAGGTGTGTATTGATTTGCTATTTTCTTCCACCATGTTATCTTCCGTAACTTGTTAGTTAATTAATGTATCTTAGTTACTTCTATATACTGACATAGTACTGGAACCAATGAAGGTCTGATTGGACTCTTCCTTGTATCTAGTCAAGTTTCTCATGCTTACTATCTTTCCCAGTAATTGATATAAGATTTTCGTACATGGGTTAAAGTAATAAGAGAAAAATACATTTAAAATAGAGATCTCTTTGAAATTAAAGCCACCAAGAATTCTTCATGGGCTTGGAAAGAATTTTGCAGTATAAAATGTGCCTGAATAAGGGATTAATGTGGACTCTAGGCAATGGGGAAAAATCAATTTTTTGGACTGATAAATGGGCGTCAAACACTCCTCTCAAGGATAGGTTACTTCGTAGGGACTGGTCAACTGAGAACCTAGAGACTAAGGTAGCTGAGTTGATTAACAGAGAAACAAAGTGTTAGAATTTAGATAGAATCAAAAATGTCAAGTCTCCAAACAAGTATGGCAAACTGTGTTGGATCATCATTTGGTTCCTGGAATTAATGAAGATGCAGTTTCTTGGTGGAGAAAAATCAGACAGTTAAATGCCCAAGATCATCAAAGGTCTTTGAGGGAGAATCTTATATTTGGAAAAGTAGGAATGCAGAAACCTTTCAAAGCAAAGAAATGTACCCAGGTCAAATAATCAACTTAGCAGGAATTGCTAAAGCTGAATATTAGAGTTTAAATTTAAGCCTTGAAACTTCTAAAAGCACAAAATGGGTCTGAGCCAATTGGACCAACCCCCACCCCCACCCAAAATAGATGCTATATAAATAACGACATCCTTAAAATTAGATGTTATTGAGATCCATCACAAGCATTAGATGTTATTGGCTACTGAAATTCTTTTAGAGAGCAGAATGGGTTTGCGAGGGCTGGGTAGAAAAAATAGGCATTTCTAAAGCTGTGCAATATCCACTTTAACAAGCACCTAAAAATGGAGAGATTTAAGTTAATTATCCTTAATTAGGGACTATCTAGGTTGTTTTCCCCGTTTCCAATTGTATCAGCTCACGGATCTGACCAGAATTCTTTCTTATTCTCTGACATGGTATTAGACTCTTCTTGGTCATTTTTTATGTAGGTTGGAAGTGATAAAAGAGGATGGAGCAAAACTCATAGTTTTATCTCACGGGACTGGGACTCAGATGAAACAGTTGCTTTTCTGTTTGGAGATTTGGGGACCTCAATCCCATATGCAACCTTTCTTCGTACACAAGCAGAAAGCATATTGACCATGAAGTGGATCCTACGAGACATCAAAGCCCTTGGTGATAAACCCACCTTCATTTCACACATTGGTGACATCAGCTATGCAAGAGGCTATTCATGGTTGTGGGACACTTTTTTTACTCAGATTGAACCTATTGCTTCTAAGGTCCCATACCATGTCTGTATTGGCAACCATGAGTATAACTGGCCCTTACAGCCCTGGAGACCTGACTGGGCTCGGACTATCTATGGGAGAGATGGAGGTGGTGAATGTGGAGTCCCATACAGCCTTAGGTTCAATATGCCTGGAAACTCATCTTTCATAACTGGGACTCGAGCTCCAGCCACACGAAACCTTTATTACTCATTTGATGTTGGGGTTGTGCATTTCGTGTATATGTCAACAGAGACCAATTTCCTTCCAGGGAGTGACCAGTACAACTTCCTAAAACATGACTTGGAGACTGTTGATCGCAAGAAGACTCCTTTTGTTGTTGTGCAAGGTCATCGTCCTATGTACACGACAAGTAGTGGGGCGAAGGATGCACCCTTGAGAAAGAAAATGCTTGAGCATTTGGAACCTCTATTTGTGGAGTATAAGGTGACCCTTGCTCTATGGGGCCACGTCCACAGGTATGAGAGGTTCTGTCCAATGAAAAACTTCTCCTGTGCAGGCACAAGCCTCAACGGGAACGATACAGAGGATTTACCAGTGCACGCAGTAATTGGAATGGCTGGACAAGACTGGCAATCAATCTGGGATCCAAGGCCTGGCCATGTAAATGATCCAATCTACCCCCAACCCCACCAATCTTTGTACAGGACAGGTGAGTTTGGGTATACTAGGCTTGTTGCTACAAGAGAAAAGCTAACGCTGATTTATGTTGGAAACCATGATGGAGAGGTGCATGACATGGTTGAGATCCTGGCATCTGGCCAGGTTCTCAATGATGGTAGTAGCAGTGGCAAAGAGGTGATAGAATCTGAACTGTCATGGTTGAAGGGAGGGAGTATCCTCTTGTTTGGGGCATTCCTGGGTTATGTAACCGGATTTATATCACATGCAAGGAGGGAATCCATATTTAGAGGGAGCTGGACTGCTGTCAAGAAGCATGAAAGATGAGGCTTGTGATCATTTGTGCAATTGGTTGGCAAATCTCTACGATCTAGAGGCTAGACCATTGTGGATATTTCAAATTCCAAATCAACAGATGAAGCAGATTAAGCTCTTATCATCCTGTCGAGATAGGAGAAAAAGAAAACTGGCAGCCTTCAAATGTTTTTTGTTATACCATATAAACCTCTGAAAATCTGTGTGGAGTTTACCCTTTGTGATTAGTGATTCTGTATATTTATAATGTAATTTTTGTCAAACATGGATGTCCTTAAATTCCATTAATGTTTTTGTTTTAAGAAAACGGAATGGATGAATGTTTCTCTTCATTAGCATTATTATCTCCACGGAAAGCTTTAGCATGTTTTGTGAAGAAAGGCAACTCATTTTGAATTGTCGATGAATGTAGTATATATATATATATATATATATATATTAGAATTTTTGTGGCTTTTTAATATTTCTAAAAATAAAAAATTGAAAATGAGGCTATTTAAGCTCACCCACAACCATTTCGGTTGAAGAAACTATATGTAACAAGGACATCCTTTTAACACCAATCAATGCATCACAAAGGGTCTCCTGGAAAAACCAATTAACATGCTTATTCCAACTTGGTCTGTGCCTCCATGATCACCATAAAACTGGGACCTACCAGCGGACACAGATCATATTAGAATGTGTTGGGTTTGTTAAGAGTAGATCTTAGACTTGGCTTTATTTGTTCTGGGTCAGACCCAACAAACTCTAGTAAGCCCAAGTTATAATTGGGTAGGTTTGCTTAACCAAATCCAATAAAATAAGAATGGCAACAGGGCAGAGACCATATTCCCTCTTTTTATTTTGTTTTGTTTTGTTTATCAACAGCACAAGATTTATATTATAGATTTAAAAGATAGATACATGAGGTACAAGTTCCCATTCGAGCCATTTCTAACCGAAGAAAAGTCACATTATAAAAAATTACTTCTTTTTCATAATTCTAATTTACAAAGATTATTATGAAAATTTTTTGTACTATTACAAAGGGTATTTTGACAAAAATAATAATTTGTCTACCCATTAACAACCCAAAATATTGGGTTTGAGGGGAGAGAGAGAGAGAGAGAGAATCGATACGGTTTTGGGTCTATTTTTTGTTAGTAAATTATAATAAATAAATAAATAAACATTTATTGGAACAAGACTAGTACAAGCAATCCTAAACCCGACCCGACCGTTGACAGCTCTAAATATTGGGCTCACGAAGAAAGAAAAAATGAGAAAGAGAGAAGGAGAATGGATCAAGCCAGAGAGAAGAAAGAGATGACTTTTGTAATAAATTTTTGCTTTATATAGTGGCATAACTATAAATAATTAGATATTTCAGTACCAAATATGAAAGTGGGAGAGAGAATACATTTTGCAATGGCATTATCATAAATAATTAGATGTTTAACGGCACACTATATAGATATATAGACCCTCGGAAGAGGATAAATTTTAGAATTTATAAGGGCAAATTTTGAAAAAAAAAATTTACATCTTGGACAAAAGATTTCAAGACTCTATGGAACTATCTCTTCTAATATATGCATATGGGTATCATAGATTATTTGGTTGGCTTTTAAATTACATTTAATATTATGCTGCATTTGTACTTTGAAATCGAAAGCATGCCACCCTACTTCTTGTTCTTGATTCTTTGCTTTGAAGCAAATGGTATTTAGTAAATTAGGAGATAGACACAAATACATTTTGGACATGCATATATACAATGGAAAGATATAGATATGTTTAAATACATTGATCAAACTCTTGCAAATCCTACAAATTAAATAATAACACTAAATCTAAGATCGGAGATGGACAACACAAATACATTTCGGGTCTTACAAATCCTACAATTAAGAAAACATTCATTTTTGAAATAAATAATTCTAATAGATCATAATTCTTTCAAACAGTGCAAATCATTTCTTATAAATTTCTAAAATTTTCCACCTTTAGTGGTGCCATTGGGCCATTGGCCCTCAATTGTATTGTATTGTTTCACTTACGCCACATGCCTATTTCTTTTAGGCTATGTTTGATTTGAAGGAAAAGGAAAAGAAATGTAAATAAGGTTTGTAAAGATTTACTTATCTTTCTCTACTTTTTCCTTCAAACCAAGCACAAAATGCAATAAGTGTTCATCAGACTGTTAAATAAACCACTCAACCATTTAATTTTTCATTATGGCCGTATATATATGCTTTTTTACTGATACCCAATGCATATTTTTTATTTCCACTGCTGAGATAGGCTGAATGATTTTTTTCCCCTTTCTCACAATCTGCACAACAGCTATGCAGCATTCAGTTACTCCGATTTCTTCTTTACATATCTATATACGATATGGGTTCGATTGTTCGAACTTCGAAGGGCTCCATCTGCTACATAGCGGACTTGTTCTGTGCAGGCTCACACCATGTCTTGCCGCAGTTTGAGGGCATTTTTCGTATTTGCATTTATTATTCATTGGGAGATGTTTCCTACTGATACAGTAGTAGTAGAGAGTGAGATGTCGGGTGTGAGATCGGTGTAAGGCGCGTTCTGTGAGAAGGATATCACAATTCAGTGTCGACTGACATGATATATCGATAAGAATTCACCGGTGTCAATATTGTGTGAACTTCTGTTCTTTCCACCTCAGCCCGCATGAAAACGTGATCCAATTATCATGTGACACGTAATAGAATATTCTTTATCTAAGTTTGAAGAATATCCGTCATCCTAATTTTGGTCCGGCGGAGACGAAGATGTACAGTAACAATCCGAACTCCAAAGCCGTTGATTTTTTTTTTAAATAATCACGACAGAGCCTGGAGCAGCGTTTGAGTGACGGAACTCTCAGCTCAGGTGTTGAGTTAACTTGGAGGAAAGAGAAAAAGGAACAACGCACGAAAGAGCTCGTCGCTTCCGACTGAAATCAATTCTCCTCTCAACGATCAAACAATAGCACTAGCAGCAGCCACAAGCTCTTTTGCATTAAATCTTGCAATGATTCCTTCATCACTCCGTTTCTTCCTCGTTTTCTTATTCATCTCCGTACTCCTGCTAGACCCATCTCTTTGTTCTCCGGTTTCTATATGTCTAAGCCCCAGCATCCTATCCAAATCCGGCGACTCAGTCCGAGTCCATTGGGCCGGTGTCGACTCCCCTTCCTCCCTCGACTGGCTCGGTATCTATTCGCCTCCCGATTCCCCTGACGACAATTTCATCGGCTATGTCTTCTTGTCCTCTTGCAACAATTGGCAATCCGGTTCGTGCTCCGTCCACCTCCCTCTGGTCAATCTTCGTTCCAATTACCAGTTCCGTATCTTCCGATGGACCGAGGACGAGGTCGACCGTTCCCGCCTCGATCACGATCACAACCCCTTACCCGGAACCAAACACCTCCTGGCGAAATCGGAGGAGTTGGGGTTCGAGAGCGGTCGTGGCCCGGAACAGATTCATTTGGCCTTCACGACCAAGGTTGATGAGATGAGAGTTATGTTTGTTACTGCGGATGGGAAGGAGAGTTTTGTGAAGTATGGGAAGAGAGAACATCGGTTGGATTACGTTGCTGGGACTGAGGTGAGGACGTATGAGCGCTTGGATATGTGTGATTCCCCTGCTAATGAGAGTATTGGGTGGAGGGATCCTGGGTTTATTCATGATGGGGTTATGACCAACTTGAAGAGTGGAATGAGATACTATTACAAGGTAAAACCGATTTTGCTTTCAGTTCCTTAAGTTGTTCGTTTGTTGGATTATCATTTTTTCGCTTTATTTTTTTGCATTTATTTATTATTTATTTCTTGGGTTTCATAATAATAATTTTGCTTCAATTGTTGGAATCGATGATTTGCTTGACTTGTTTACAAATTGCCTGCTTTGTGCTTCTCATTTTCTTTTTTCTTTATTTCTTGGGTTTTCAGTGGCTATGTCTTGCAATTTCCTTCCATATTTGGTCTCAGAGGTTTGTTTTGATTTACTATTTTCTTCCACCATGTCATGTCACTAACCTTTTAATGATATTAATGTCTCTTAGTCACTTCTGATTGGACTCTTCCTTGTTTCTAGTCAGAGTCAAGTTTCTCATATTAAGGTTCTTGTTGCCATGTGTCATTGCTTCATTACTATCTCATTATCCTCGATTAGCCTGTCTTTCAAATTTCTTCTGTTGGATGCTTAACAACTGGTTCAAGGTAATTTCTTACTTTTGACCTGGATAATCAAGTATAAGAAAGTTTGTTTGAGAATTAGGTCTTGTTTTCCCTTTTTCTTTTCTTATCTGTTTCAATTTATGTGTGGTGAAGACAGAATATGAAATATTAGAAATCTAGCTACACATTGCTTCAGAGATAAAGTTGAATTGGACGAATGGCTTAGAAGGCAATCAAGAATGTTTCTCAAATCTCAATCAAGAGATCATAAGTTAATCAAGTATAACTAATACTGTAAGGGAAGCAATAAACATCATCTGTGTGCAAGTGCAACCAATCCTGCAATGTTTCTGTTCCAATCAAATTGCTTTTATCCTTTTATGAAAATATGGTTCAAGTAAGATTGCATGTAATAATGTAGTATTGATATATGTAGTTACGTAGACATAGTTTCTTAATAATATTTCTAAATCGCCTACTAGGAAAATGATGTTATCCTAACATTAGATGTTATAAATATCCATCAAAACAATTAGATGTTATTAAGTACTGAAATTCTTTTGGAGACTAGAATTGGTTTGCTAGGGCTGGGTAGATAAAAATAGATAGTTCCAAAGTTGTGTGATCACTTTAACAAACACCTAAAAACAGGGAGATTTAAGTTAATTATACTTAATTAGGGAATGCCCAAGTTGTTTTCTCTGTTTCTAATTGTATCGGTTCACAGATCCAACCATAATTCTCTCCTATTCTCTAACATGGTATTAAACTCTTTTTGGTCATTTTGTATGTAGGTTGGAAGTGATGAAAGAGGATGGAGCAAAACTCATAGTTTTATCTCACGAGACTGGGACTCAGATGAAACAGTTGCTTTTCTGTTTGGAGATTTGGGGACCTCAACCCCATATGCAACTTTTCTTCGTACACAAGCAGAAAGCATGTCAACCATGAAGTGGGTTCTACGTGACATTGAAGCCCTTGGTGATAAACCCACCTTCATTTCGCACATTGGTGATATCAGCTATGCAAGAGGCTATTCATGGTTGTGGGACACATTTTTTACTCAGATCGAACCTGTTGCTTCTAAGGTCCCATACCATGTTTGTATTGGCAATCATGAGTATAACTGGCCCTTACAGCCCTGGAGACCTGACTGGGCTCAGTCTGTCTACAGAACAGATGGAGGTGGTGAATGTGGAGTCCCATACAGCCTTAGATTCAATATGCCTGGAAACTCTTCTTTCATAACTGGGACTCGAGCCCCAGCCACACGAAACCTTTACTACTCATTTGATGTTGGGGTTGTGCATTTTGTGTATATATCAACCGAGACCAATTTCCTTCCACGGAGTGACCAATACAATTTCATAAAACATGACTTGCAGGCTGTTGACCGCAGGAAGACTCCTTTTGTTGTTGTACAAGGTCACCGTCCCATGTACACAACAAGTAATGGAGCCAGGGATGCACCCTTAAGAAAGAGAATGCTTGAGCATTTGGAGCCTCTATTTGTGGAGTATAAGGTAACCATTGCTCTATGGGGCCATGTCCATAGGTATGAGAGGTTCTGTCCAATGAAAAACTTCACCTGTGCAAGGGCAAGCCTTGATGGGAAGGATACAGAGGATTTACCGGTGCATGCAGTAATTGGAATGGCTGGACAAGACTGGCAACCAACCTGGGATCCAAGGCCTGACCATGTAAAGGATCCAATCTACCCCCAACCCCATCAATCTTTGTACAGGACAGGTGAGTTTGGGTATACTAGGCTTGTTGCTACAAGGGAAAAGCTAAAACTGATTTATGTTGGGAACCATGATGGAGAGGTGCATGACATGGTTGAGATCCTGGCTTCAGGCCAGGTTCTCAATGGTGGTGGTAGCAGTGGCAAAGAGGTTATGAAATCTACACTGTCGTGGCTGGTGAAGGGAGGGAGTATCCTGGTGCTTGGGGCATTCTTGGGTTATGTTACTGGATATATATCACATGCAAGGAGAGAGTCCATATCTAGGAGGGGCTGGACTGCTGTCAAGACTGAAGAGGCATGAAATGTGTGGGTTCTGATCATTTAAGCAAATTGGTTGTGTGATCTCTGCAATCATAGACTTTTGTTGACATTTCAAATTCCAAATTTACAGATGAAGCAGGTTAAGCTCTCATATCATCCTGCCACGCTGGGAGAAAACTGGCAGCCTTCAAACGTTTTGTTATACCATATAAACCTCTGGAAATCTGTGTAAAGTATGACCTTTGTGATTAGTTGTTTTGTATATTTATCAGGCAAAAGTTCTGTTCAATGTTTTTATCAAACATTGATGTCCTGAAATTCCATTAATTTTTGCTTTAAGAAAACTGAATGGATGAAAGTTTCACTTTCATTAAGATTATTTTCTCCACCGAAAGCTTTAGCATGTTGATGTGTGTACATGTATATGATTGATATTATTCATTTTACATAAACGATCACATCAATCAACTCCTCTGGTTTGAGGCTCTAAAGGAAAGGACCCGTGTTAAATTGCGTAGTGTTGTTCATGATGGGTAAACAATGCAACAGTTCTCATGAGTCATTATTGACAATTTTTTACTGCAATTGTTCAGAACCGCACTCCTGTAAGAGATAATCAGGAGGAGAATAGACTAGTAACTGGTATAAATGAACTTCTTTCGCATCTAAAAAAGGTATAAATTATCTACCATTTCCAAAGTAAACCTAGAGTAAATCCATTGAATTCTGTTCTTTAAAAATTCAAATAAATTCCACCGATGAAAATTTAGCTCAAATATTTCGATCTGAAAACATTTTCGGCCCATTCTATTCTGAAACACGGTCTTCATCTTCTCTTCTGGCTAAGAAGAGAGAAACAGAAGCCAGATGACATGAGTAATGGTCATCATTTCGGGTCAAGAAATCAACCCAAACCCAGACACTCGCCCGTCGTCCATTCTTAAAACACGTCTGATTGTCCAACTCCAAACAGATTTTTGAATTTTCTTTTTTTTAATCCACGTAATATCATCTAAACCAGGTAACGCATGAGACCGTTCGGACTTCTCAAGCATCTCCCACATATAATATTTTCATTTGGGGGCATTCTTTTTTCGGTTTTTGAGAGGGGGAACTTGGTCAATGGGATTTTAGTTCTCATTTGTCAAGAATCACATGTTCTTTTTTCAGATTTATGTGGGAATCAAGGAAAGTTTATTTTTATGGATAAGTGATATTCATCTCCTAAGTGGGTAAATAACTTTTCCATCTAGGGGGAAGTTGCCAACACTTGAATGGGACAAAAATACCCTTTTTAATAATGGACTTTTGTGGCTAAAATGGCCATTGCCTTATTTACATGAGAATAAAAAAAATGAGTAAATGCACTTATTAGATAAGTGCTTCCCAGGAAAAAATTACCCAAGTACCTACATTTATCCGGATAAATAACTTGTAACTTGTTGAAAAGTGAATGAGGTTTGAAATCTAGGCATTTCAAACGTCTCTACCTCCTTCCTCCAAACAAACTATTCACACTTTCTCTTCAAAATTGAAGTCTTGTAGAGACGTTTTAGAGTTGGGTAAGCTGTTGAGAACATTGCAAAGCTTTTCAGGTTAATATTTTCTATTTTTTTTCTTCATTTTTATTTTCTTCTCTTCAATATTGGATGTGCCATTTCTGAGACGTTTAGAGTTAGTTTTTGGGTTGCACAATCGGCTATAGATTATTTTTGCCGAGGGTTTCTTCTTTGGATTTTCATTTCCAGGATTGTTTTATTTTTCTTGTGATGGTGCGCAATCTGGCCGGTCCTAGTTGTCAGCGATCTTGCCCCGGGATGGAGTAGAAGGTGCTTGAAACGGAGGAGGAAGCGAGTAATCTCCGGGGAAGAACCCGGTGAGAATGCTCTGAAACTCAAGTTAGTATTTCCTCAAAGGCAAGATAAAACCAGATGGCGCAAAGTTATCACATACCTCTCTTCTTGGGGGGAAGGGGTCTTTTATAACCACTTCGCGCACTCACTCCTAAGCTTCTGTCAGGTCGAGTATGATTACCTCTGCGCTTCTGCCAGTTCGGGTGTCATCACCTCTGTTGGGGCAAAACCGCCACTGCTCTCTGTCGGAGCCGTCTCTGTAACTGGAGATGGCAGTGGCAAGGGGTCATTGAAGTGCGGCTGTCAAGCGTCAGATCCCAAGTCAGTCACGTGCGCCACCTCAGGATACGGACTCCTTCGGTGTCAGGTACGGTACGGTTGTTCAGTTCGGCGTCCTGGAGGCGAAGTGCTGGAGTGGTGTGCGAGATGGTCTTGAGTTCAGATAGAGGTGTGGTCCGAACTACCATGGGGCGGGCCAGTTCAGGTTGTTGCCCTTTGTGCTCGTAAGGCTCGGGGTCTAAGGGAGAGCTCGAGCTCCTTGTGGGGAGTTCGGACCGCGAGTTCCTCTTTTCGGAGCTCGCGCCTTGGGCGTACTGTTGTGCCGAGCTATTGCCTTTGCCACGTGTTGAGTGGTTACGAGGTCGGGCCAAATCTTCCTTCATCACCTTGGGTTACTTCTTTTTTGGTTTTTGCTTAATGGTTGAATACTTGGATATGTTGCTTCATGGGCGCTCTCTAGTTAAAAGAAAAAGGTTATGGCATTAAAGTTAGGGCTATTCATAAGAAGATCCAACCAGACCAAACCGGCCAACTCGGTCTGATCCAACCTGAGTCGACCGGGTTTTCTTCAACACCGGTTGGTTTTGGGTTATAAAAAATCATAAACTGATGATTCGGTTCAGTTTCGGTTTTCATGTGTGAAAACCAAAATCGACTCGACCCGAACCGAGTTAGTAATTACAACCTACTTAGTTCTTCACTACCGAGTTCATCAGGAGGTATGTTGTAAACATTAAAGATGACCCAAGACCCATCACTCCATTAGTGAATAAAAAATGAGTACATGAATAAATGTTTGCCTTAAAATTTCAGTATTTCACCACTACTTATCTATAGTAGTAGAGAGCATCTTCTTACCTTTTGTTGAATCCGACCGGCTTTGATAGTTTGATCCATCCATTATATAGTTTCCTGCAGATTGAAATCTTACTCCAGCAAATAGTACTCTCAAACTCTGCTCCCTCCACAAAAATCTAGATCCCTAGATGGGCCACAAAACATTAAGGAAATGTCGGTTTCCTTTGGGAATGTAGAGCCATAAATGAACAACAACTGAGTCACCACTACATAGAGCCAAAACCGACCCAAACTGACTCAAAATCGATCAAATCGGTTTTGCTTAACATGGGGTCGATTTTGGTTTCAATTTCAAGTAACCCAACCAAGTCGGATCGGTTGGAAAAATATCAGTAAACCAACCCTACTCGACCCGTGAACAGTCCTAGTTAAAGTTACAAAAAAAAAAGGGATTTAAAAAAAAATTGTACGATTTTTTCAACCACTAATGTTTTCGCGCTAAAAAATACATAAAAGACTTGTACATAACATCCAAACCAACCAATTACAAGTGAAAGAAATCCAAAAAACGAAAAAATGAAAAAAAAAAAAAACGAACCGGGGTCGTCACAGGACCCATTTTATCGTGCACGCGAAGAAGATGAATTGTGCGGGTCATCTTCTACCCGTTTTCGAAAACACAGTTTGAATCATGTAAACCCGAACCAGGTAGAACATGGATTGCTCAACCCGTATAATACACGGGTTGCATAATAATAATAATAAAGTTAAAATTAAACGAGGTAAGGAAATAAAGAATTGGCAAAAGGTTAAGCCATGACATGCTTGGCCTAGAAATTCTGAGTTTTGGCTAGGTTTTGTGTTTAGGTTGGGCTCGGGCCAATATCAAAATTCAAACTACAAATTTTAAGAATGAGCCTGTGACTATTACTTTAGTACAACCCGATAATGATTTTATTTATTACTACAACCTAATTTTAATTATTTTATTAAATTAAACTGTTATGACTAAAAAACGCTAATCTATAAATTATTTAATTATAACTACAATCTAATTTTATATAATTACTATGACTCAAAATGTAGAGTGCGAATTGGGACCTGTTTGACGGGTCAGATCAGATCAGGGTCCATCGGGTCGACCGGACCAAGGACGGGCCCACTGCCCACGTGTAACCCTTTATGCTAGAGCGACGAAAGAGAAGGATTGGGCATTGGGGCAAAGGGAAAGAGAATTTGTAGTTTCATTCATTTGCTTGCAAAGGTCGGCGTCCCCTCCACCTCCAGGCCTCCACTCTCTCTATGTTTCAGTAAAGACGCAATGCGAAGAAAGGAATTAAAAACAAAAAAGTGATCTGCCAAAAATTTTCTTCAATTGCTGGAATTTTCGAGCTCGATCAGCTAGCTTTTGGTAAGTCTCAAATCTCATAGCTTTTGTAAGAGTTAGTGGATTGTTCTTCTATTTTTTATGTTTAATCTATCGGGTTTCCATCCGATTGATGGCTGAATGTTTTTTTTTTTTATTATTATTATACTTTGTTGGATCAGTTAGGTTTTCGAGTTGTTTGGTTTGGTTTGGGAGTTTATGTGGATTTTAAGGAGCTGGCTTCTCCGTAATGCGTTATTTTCTTTCATTTTTTTGTATATGTACTGTGTTAACTCGGTTTCGGGAAGTTTTGATTTTTCTTTGGTTTCAACTCAAAGAGAAAGTCTGGAGATTGGGTGTTGGGTCAGGTTCTATTTTATGAGATTTTAACCTCTTGAGCTTTTCCTCTTTCTAAAAAGGAAGAAGAAAGAAAAGAGATATGGATTATGAGGCTTGGTGGTAGGATTTCTTTTTTTTTTTCTTTCTATTATCTGGTTCGATATGTAAAACTTTACTTTTTTTTTTTTTTCTGTTGATCTTTGAGGTTTTCGCGTTATGTTAGTTTTTGCTCGTTATGTAAACTTCTGTTTACTACCTTTTCCCCTTCTTCGCAACTTCGGTATCCAGTCTATCCCTCCAAAGGCCCTGGATATCCGGGATCAGCACTGAGTAATAGCCTTTTTAGTTTTACTTATTTATTTGGAAGGTGTGGTTGCGCACTTTTGTGTTGAATTTTGTTCGTTTTGAGGAGATGTAATAAAGATTGTTCATCGTTGATTTTCTAGTGTGGATGGGGGATTGTTTAATGGAGTTTTAGGCTGTTTTTGATATGTAAACACCTCTGACAATCATAGCTGTTGGTGGGAATTGGACATGATTCGTATATCCAACTCTCGTTGACAGACAAAAAAATGGAGTTATTACAGTACGTGCTTGAGAGCGCAGGCGCTTCAGGGACGTGAAGAATCCATACAGGAAACCTTCACGAGCTCAGTGTTTCTGATGTATAGACACTTTGGCAATACTGTGAAGGAATGGATATGTGGTAGAGACTGCCAGCATCTCACCAGATGGTGTTATTTAGGAATGTGGAATGCCTTATTGTTCAGCAGAAATAGAACCTTTGTGATATAAAATTGAAAACACAGTAAAGTAGATGTTGACAATTAGATGATACTGTAAGTAGAATAATAGTATCAGATGAACATATATTTTTCTTTCCAAATCTCCCTGACATAATGGTAATTAATGGAATTTAAAGCATCAGAAATTATGAAATAGGAGAAATATGAGTTTTGCATATCAGACTGGTTTTCATGGTCTCTTTTGAGGGGTATTAGTTTACTTGGGATTTTTTTGATCCATTTACTTGGGATTTTCAATTTGAAAGATCTCTTACCTTTTTACATGTCCATTTTTTATTCGATAAATAGGTATTTAACAAGCTTTAATTTTACCTGGGCTCTTCTCTATAACTATATTTATTTGGTATAGGTATAGGGGATGGTGGCTTTGCAACTCTCTACATTCTGCAGGGAGATGACCTAATCACTATGATCTGCTACACGTGGATTACTTGATTCTTAGAAAAATAATATCAAGACTGTCTAAGACAAGAAAAGTTTTTTTTTCTGCATCAATTAAACTAAGCCTTATTTCAAAATAAGTTGTTTTTAGGTTGGAATATAATATAGATATAGAAGTTAAAACATTATGCTCACCTCTACTTTTTGGAGTGCTTTGAAATTTGTGGTAATACACTATTCTCTATGTTAAACTTGTGGTGATATAACCAAATCCAAGCCAAACAGAACATGATTGATTCAAGTCATTTGATTGAGTTGCAACTAGAAATCTTGTGTGTGTGTGTGTGTTTCTATACTATTTTTATACTGTTTTGTGCGGAGGAGGAAGTAAAGGGTTGACTTTAACCCAGGTTTTGTGCGGAGGAGGAAGTAAAGGTGTGACATGAGTGTTCCACTACCTGGAGGCATGGGGTGTATTTTTTTTATTTATATCAGTAGGTGCATATTTTGTTAATAAAAGGAGACAAATTACAAAGGAGGAGAGATAAAATCTCTTAACTCTCCACAAAGACTAAAATAAAGTTACAGTTGAGCCCAAATTTCTTCCCACTCCTTGTTTTGCTAAGGCATCAGCAAACCATGAGCACTTATTTTAGCCCAATTTAATCTCACATCCATGCTTTGTGTCACCTATTTAAATTTCTTTCTTTCACTGTTGCAGTTCCAAAGTCCAGATTCTTCCTTTGGCATCCAACCCACCACCTGCTTTGAGTCCCCTTCTATAACCAACTTACTAATGTGCATGTATTTTTCTCTTTGCACACTATCCAACATGGCCAAAATCTCATCCCTCAAAGAATCCCCTTCACCTATTGGCATTGAAAATAGACCAATAATTCTGCCCTCCCCATTCTTGAAAACACCACCAATACCTAATGGACCTGGATTGCTTGCACTACTCCCGTCAAAATTAAGCTTAATAAAACCATGAACTGATGGAGACCATGTGAGGCTTGTAACAGACTTATGTCGGTCTGAACTGGCCACTTCCAATTTCTCATAATATCGCCTGCTGAAAAATCAGCAAATAACTCCAAAGATTTAACCCACTGAGCCATCCTAACATTGATAGTCTGAATAATAGCTTCTCTACTTGTTTCCCTATCTAAGAATATCCTTGAATTCCTTTCCTCCCAAATGGTTCAACTCAAAGCAGATCTTAAACATCTCCACATCAATCTTCTCCTCTTCTTTGGCTAACTAAAAAATGTAGAGGGAAACAAATTTTGCACATTAGGCAGGGGAATCCACCACCACCCCACACCCAAACAAGGAGAAAAACCATTTTCAAATGGAAATTACAAAGGAGCAGGAGATTAATAAGTGATAGCAAGACTCTCTAAAGCAAATCACAAGTATTTATTCTTTCTAGGAACACTTCCCAACAAAATCCTCCAAATCTGGGAGGGATAGGATTACTCCAAACCTCAATAGGGAAAGGTTGCCCCAAACTATTTGAGGGTTAAGACCTTGAAACAGGAAGCACAAGAGAAGGTAGCAGTGGAGGAGTGAGTCCAAATACAACTATCCGGTTTGGATGGGTCCAAGAAAACCCCTCAAGAAGAGTAGTAGTAAGCTGCAAAGAGGCTTATTTAGCCTCCTTGTATGCTTTCAAAAATATTGCTGAGGTGTACAAGAGGTGTATGCCTCATGCAACATGTGTTTTAATGCATACGCCTTCATGCATGAGGTGTATGCCTGAGATGCATCCGTGCTTCCAGCATGCACCTCAAGATGTTTGGAATCCACCTTGCCTGGTGCATGCCTCCAGGCATATGCTTCTTATGCCTTCTAAAACATTGTATGAACCTATATTGAGTAATCTGTTCTGTTGCTATGGGGTGTGAACTCCTTTTATGGGAAAGGATGGATTAGTTTCTGACTTTTCCATCATGCATTCGTCATTCATGTAACTGGAACTTGATGATACATTGTAGAATAGATTTCTGTGTTTGTGGCGAACTTTCTCAAGTCCCAAAACAAGTCCAATTATAGGATGGTTAGGGTGATCCTCAGTTGAGATTGTGCTGGCTCTTTTCTTCTTTGGTATTATTATGATGATTTTTTCTCTGTTTCTTGTATTGCTTTTATGAACTTTGTATATCTAACTCATATTTTTTTTATCTGTCTAGGAAGTTCAAATATTTATAACCAAAACATGATGTCTACTCCAATTACATCTGCAGCGGTGTTGTCTTCTGAATCTTTGGACGTCAATGGAGTCCAGACCGTAAATTTGAGCCTTCAACAAAGCAGGACCTCCTCACAGGGTTCAATCGCCATTCTTTGGGACATTGAAAACTGCCCTGTCCCAAGTGATGTCCGCCCTGAAGATGTAGCTGGAAACATCCGAATGGCATTGCGTGTCCATCCTGTTATTGAAGGAGCTGTTACAATGTTCTCTGCCTATGGCGATTTCAATGCATTTCCAAGGTGGCTTAGAGAGGGTTGCCAGAGGACTGGAGTGAAACTCATAGATGTTCCTAATGGAAGAAAAGATGCTGCTGACAAAGCTATTTTGGTTGACATGTTTCTGTTTGCCCTTGACAACCCTCCACCATCTTCAATTGTCCTCATCTCAGGAGATGTAGATTTTGCACCTGCATTGCACATTCTGGGCCAACGTGGATACACCATCATCCTTGTTATTCCTGCTGGAGTGGGTATCTCATCTGCCCTGAGTAACGCTGGGAGGTTTGTCTGGGACTGGCCTAGTGTGGTTCGTGGAGAAGGGTTTGTGCCCCCTAAGGGTCTAATATCTCATGGCCAGGCTGACATTTCTGCGTATCTTGTGGGTTGCCGTATTGGTGAAAATGCAGATGACCAAATTGAAGAAGAAGCAATTGTGTACAAAGGAATCTCAAAAAGTGAATCATCCATCCGGACTAACATTAACCAATTTTACCGTTTCAACTCTGGGGACTTAACAAGGACTTCACAGTCTTTGTCTGAATACAACAGTAATTTAATTAGCATGCCTTGTTTCCCCACGTCAAGATCCCATAGTCTCCCCTCTGGTTTGAGCAATGTTTCAGCAGGATCTGTTCGTGGTGATCAGAGTGAAGCACATGATCCAACATCTTGGGTCCAGCCTGGAGACTTGAATGGATTAAAGGGCCAGTTGGTGAAGCTACTTGAGATGTCTGGAGGAAGCCTACCACTTGTCCGTATTCCTGCAGAGTACCTTAAGATTTATGGTCGCCCCTTGTATGTCGCAGAGTATGGGGCTTCTGGGCTTGTAAATCTTCTCAAGAAGATGGCAGATGTAATGAATGTGGAACGTAGGGGCAATAGGAAGTATGTCTACCTCCGCAACCACATCAATCGAGTGGGGAAAACAGGATCCAGTACTTCATCAGGTCTAGCAAGGAGGGATAAGAAGGGGAAGGGACCTCAGGAGGAGAATGCAGATACTAGTGTGAATGTAGTTCCAGAATGCTCAAACTCATCAGATGAGTCTTCAGAAGATGATAAGTTGGGACATGAGGAGAGGAGTTCAAAGACTGTTTCAGTAATGATGAACCAAGAAATTAACAATCATCTCCAACGATTTAAACTGGAACTTCAGGAACTTCTTGTGAGCTACTCATGCCGTATCTTCCTGGGTTGTTTTGAGGAAATATATCGCCAACGGTACAAGAAATCATTGGACTACAGTAGTTTTGGTGTGTATGAGCTGGAGGAGTTGATTGACAAGGTGAAAGACATTGTGGTTTTACATGAAGAACAGGGTAGCAAGAGGAAATTCCTGGTTGCAGTAGGTGACTAGGAACTGGTACTATGTACCTGTATTCATTGGATCCAGTGTTTGGGGTCTGCTTTTATATGTACGGACCCATTCTCTTCTCTTCTTTCTACAAATGAACGGGAAGGAGAGGCACCATATGGATGTATTCTACTACATTATGTCCAAATCTAGAGCTTGTTTCCACAACATGCGTGCAAACAAAGGATAGCTCCCTCCATATGCATGGAGAGTCACTATAACTGATCAGCAGCAAATAAGAGATTTGTGAAATTTAACTTGCATTTGGTCTATCCAGGTTGTGAGCTCACCTGTGGCCATAGAGGTGTATGCGATATTACATTGTGTAATTTATTATTTCCTGGAACGAGGAATTTGACTAGTTAATGATAATAGGGGATTGGAATCCACTTTTTTTTAATGGATTCCACCTCGGCTATTTTCTAGTGTAAAATCAGCACCTTTGAGTCTCTTTTCATCTATTATTGTGATTGTGATAATTGGAGAGCGTGGGCATTTATTATCAGATGGGTGCGACTTATCACGCCAATGGTGCAACATGGAAGGAATATTGGATTCGAAGGTTTTAACCATCTTCACACCTGACTCTACATACTAATATTTTTTTTCTATTTTTTGACATGTAGCGGTCGATGGTGAAAACTGAAAAGTGCTCAAGGCGAGATTTCATCCTCACCAACTTAAGCCCTTCAGGCTCCTCGCCTTAATATGGAATTCACTTCTTTTGCAGCAGGGTTGGAGCTTTAAGCGAGCATGCAGACTGCAGAGAGAGGCTTGCTACTTCACACCATGCCAGGGCCAAGCAGCATCTCTATCAGTTTCCAAATTTCAAGGCTTGCAAGTTAGTGGCTTAACAACACAATCATTTAGTCCTATTTTCTTTTGGTGCAAACAAGTTAGTGGCTTAACAAAAAAATAAAAGATTCTTTGTGGTGCAAACAAGTTACAGCTATCCTGGATCAAATGAAAGAAAACCTATTCTGGCAGTTAAAAGATGGAAACTCAATTCACATCACTGACCCTTGGTTTCTTTCACTCCCAAATGGCTTTCCTAGAATCAAATCTGATCCACCACAGCAGACTAACATTCAGAAGGTAGATGAAGTTTGGAACCCGGAATCTTATTCTTCTAAGACATCTGTTTGAGGAAAGTATCTGTCATTTAACACATTCAAGTGGAACAACAGATACACAAACATACATTGCTCCGGAAAAGTTCAAAACAGAACACTAGCGTCCAAACAGGATACAAATATTTTGTAAGCTGTTGCCTTGAAATTCTGGATCAACTGAGTACTGGAACCTCGTCTGGAAAACAAAAGTACCTTTCGGGTTCCAAATATTCATGTGGAAGGCATATATATATATATATATATATATATATATATATATATATTGAATGAGGATGAAAGAATCTGCCCCTTATGCAAGCGCTCAAGCTGAATGGTGGGCAGCTATCTACGGTCTCAGAAAAGCTGTATCACTGAAACTCAGAACAGTGACTCTTTTGGCTGGCTCTCAAAAAGTCGTGAAAGGCATAAATGAGGAAGAAGGAATTGACTGGCAAACAGTGCACCTGAAAGATGAGATATCATTCTTGAAAAGTTTTTTGATTATATATAGATAAAGCATATTAGCAGGACTTCCAATACAGCTGCTCATGAACTAGCTTTATCATGCCTGTAAATATAATATATTTATGCAAAATATGGATCTTGGCTCATCATCATGTATGAAATGCTTACAAGATCAATGAAGTTTTATCTTTTGGAAAAAAAAAATTCTGAACAAGATTTGCATAAACCTGAGACTAAGAACATTCCCTTCCACCATCCCATTATCGGTTCGTGGCTTTCAATCAAGAGGAGTTGATAACCACCCAGATTATTTGTTTGGTTAGGTCACAGCCATGTGTATATGTTTGGCATTTTCTGCTGATACCCACAATTATCAGTTTCATTGTCCACACTGCACATTCATTTCTTTACCTTTTCCTTAGTCTTTACTGGGAATTTTTTTCCTGAACCAAGAGCCATGGGAATGCTTACCAGATCAATGAAGTCTTCTGACTTCTCCATTTTTCTTTTCTGCTTGGCGTGTATCAACGCAGAGGAGGGGTGGGGGAAGTCTAATGTTCATAACTGTAATGTATGGTTGAAGATAAGGTGTGTAACTTGGAAGAAAATCAGCAAACATCTCTAAGCCCAGAAGAAAATCAAATGGGTAGTAGTCAAAGTTGCTCACACCTTTTAATAAGAAAACAAAAAACAAAACAAAACAGGGGAAAATTGCTCATTCACTAGTTTCAGTGGTAAGTGAAAACAATCCATCTCTGACATTGGAGACACGAAACTACAAATAACTCACAGAAGCAGATGCCCTACCTAATGAAGAAGAGGGGTGAGCATGGTGAGACAACATCTCTGAACAAGAATTGAGACATTTGCAGAAAGGGAACCAAATAGAAGGCTAGAACTAGAAGCCTCTAAACTTTAAGATGAAGAGCCTGATCCAGGCAGCTGGCTTTAGCTATAGCTCACGGCTCTCAGAATCCTTTTCTGTTTCATCACATCAGTTCTTATGGGCTCCATTTGCACAGGTACTGGAGCGGAGAACATAAAATTACCATCCTGACCCTGTACTTCTCCTTCTATTCCATAGTTTATCACTGTCTTGATGTTCTTCCTAGGGTTTCTGTCACCATCGCTGACCTGAGAAGATCCTTCGCTCCCCGTGTGTGATCCTTCCTCATCGTCCTCAGAAACCCTAGAGAATCCCCCGATCTCTTCAACCTCCCTGCTTAGTCCCTCTACAAGCTCTCTCTGATCGTCATCTGTATTTGTCTCCTCGCTACTGATAAGAACCCTAGACAAATTCTCGTTCTCTGCGAAGCTCACACTTTTCTTTGCTTTAGAAGAACAAAGCCCATGCCTTTTTATCAAAATCCCACCGTAATTGAGGTTTCTGGGGTTCTCTTCATCGTCACTGATATGATGAAACGCTTCAAGTTCAACCTCTGCTTCCTCGTCGTTCTCGAAAGGGCGTTGGACCTCTTTAATCTGGTCGCTCAATTTCTCTATGAAAGGTCTCCGATCACCAGCAAAATCTCGACGGCTGGTACCAAAACCACTTCCGGTGTTTTTTATGCGTGGAAATGGATCGGTTCGGACACTGATAAAAGTTCTGGATTCCCTGCCATCCTCTGTAGATGTCGCATGCCTCGTCATTTTGGAAGAAAGTTGCTGCCTTTTCAGGGAAATTCCATCAACGAACTCCAAGAAGCGAACCAGTTCTCTGCTAATAGACTTTTTCCCATCCCTAATCATCGGATCGCCGTCCTGCAACGTGCAAGTTAATAAACGAAAAATGAAGAGCCCAAAGAAATGAACCCACAGTATATACGAATAAAAAATAATCTTTTTTTTTTCTTTCATTTACCTGAATGGCTTCAAGCTGTCGGAGCAAATCCATGGCTTTCTGGGAAAGAACATGCGGGTGGAGGAGGGCATCATCGGAGATAGACGATTTGAGCGTGATGAGCTCGGACTTGATAAGAGCAAGCTGCTTGAGGTGACGAAGGGTGCGGGATCTGCGGGCAAGAAAGGCACGGAAATGGGTTTGAATGGTGCGAGCGGCAATGTCTCGGAGAGAGTTTGAAGGAGGAGGTGGAGGAGAAACAGAGAGTTGGTTAAGGGAGGATTCGAGGGCGTCGATGCGACGGAAGAGAGAGGAGAGGAGAGTCTGGGTTTGCTGGTTTTGGAGGCGCTCTTGTTGCTGTTGTTTCTTGTGTTGCTGGTGGTGTTGCCGTAGTTGGGGTTTGAGGTGCTGAGTGGCGAGATGCGACTGGGAAGATTGAAGGAGTTGAGTAACGATTGCCTGAACAAGAGGGTCTGTGGGTGGCGGAGACTGAGAAGATTGGGCGGAAGATTGATGAGATGAGAGGCAACTACAGGAACAGCAGCAACTGTTGTTGTTGTTGTTGTTGGGCTGGCAGCTGTTCTGGTACTGATACTGGTAATAGTGGTGGTGGTGATGGTGTGAAGCCATGGCAGAGAAGGGTGAAGCCTGTATGGATTTGAGTGGGAGAGACAAGGGTGAACAGAAGAAAAGTGAGCAGTGAAAAAGAAGATGACTTTTAAGATCTTTTTTTTTGTTTTCGGGGGTAAACAGAAGATGACTTTAAGATCGATGCTCACAAAAAAAAAAATCATTTTATTCATCTAACTATATGTTTAATTCTGTCTGTGTGCGCTTCTGGGTGATGTGAGTTTGGTGGATGATAATACCAATGGCGTAGCATCTGTTGCTTTTAGAATTGAGTATCTTACTGTCAAGTTTGGAATTCCTTGAGTTGAGTCTGAGATTATCCAATTTGGCAAAATCAGCACCATTAATGGGTAAGACCGGATCTGCTTCTCACACCGAGGCGCCTCACATGCACATCCTAACATGCATTGGGAATATCTCCCGTACTTATTAATTATTACTCACGGGAGATGTTCTAAATGCACCGTGGGTGTGCATGTGAGACACCCATTTGTCAGGATCTGGATGGGTGTGCTCCCATGTGAGACGCCCATTTCCATGAATACATACAATGATACAAAACAATCATTACTTAGGATCTGCTCCTCACGCTTGGGCGCCTCACATACACATCAACCGAGCATTGGGAACATCTCCCGTGAAAAATAACTTACAAGTACGAGAGAGAGAGAGAGAGGGAGAGGGAGATGTTCCTGATGCATGGTAGGATGTGGCGTGTGAGGCACCCTATTTGAGGAGTAGATCCAATCAATACAATTATCATTTGAGGCCATGGTAATTTGGTAGAATGGGTTTGCCATTCACACTAACCTCACAACCATACAATTCACCTTGAATTGGAAACATCTCCCCATGAATAATAAATACAACTGTGGGAGATATTCCTGATGTACAACCAGTACATGCTGTAAGGCATGCACTGTGACAAGCAGATCCGAACTCAATTTAGTATACCAACGGAATATTGGTGAGACAACCATTGGATCGTGTTCGCATCTGCACCCCATAGATTTGCCCCCTAAAGACGTCCCACGGATTCACAATGCGCCGCGTGTCCTCCCACACATGAATGCATCTAACTCGTGTGGAGCTAATGGGACGATCGTTAGTTGGTTCCGTTAATTCCCACTTCGCCCAAAATAGGTAATCTCTCAATCTCGCTCACTCTCAAATCTCAGCCTTACTTGAACCCTCGACCTAGAGTGTGCGAACTAAAACCCAGCAGAGCTTGCCCCCCTTCGAGTTCCCTCGGTCGATGCCGACGATCGTTTTGGCAACTTTATTTACCGGAGGTAAGTTTCCCTCTTTATTCTCAATTCTCCCATTCTCGGATTTGTTTTTTTTTCTCATTTTTCTACCTTGTTTTTTTTTTTTTTTTGTATTTTGCAATAGAAAAAACACATTGAGAATGAGAAAAAACAGAGTACGCACCTTCTACGTTTTTTCTATTGCAAAAAAATCATACTATATTCAGCCCTAATCTTGCAACGAGGATCCAACACAACAACACAAGACAAAATCATACTATATTCAGCCCAATATTTATCAAATTTCTCCTTCATTTTTCTAACCATGTCAGTCATAAAATTCTGAGGTTCCTTACTCACTAACATCAAATGTCTATGAATCATCCACACTCCCTTGAAGTAAAT